TTCATCTTGGTTATAGTCCCCATACAATTCCCACCCCCCCTTGTTTTGATCCTACTTCCTCCTCATCCCCCTGTAGTATGTCTCTGGTTTATAGTTTCTTATTGATTTTGATTTTTACTTTATTATAATTAGTCTTTTTCCTGGTCCCTTATTTAGGTTTTTTAAATTCCTGCTATGAGTGAGACCATCTGGTATTTTTCTTTTTTTCTGGCTTATTTCACTGAGTGTGATCCCTTCCAGCTTCAACCATGTTGCTGCAAATTGCATGAGTTTATCTTTTTTGATTGCTGAGCAATATCCCATTGTATATATGTACCACATCTTCTTGATCCAATCATCTATTTTGGGCATTTGCGTTGTTTCCATAGCTTAGCTATTGTAAATAGAGCTGCTATAAACATAGGGGTGCAGGTGCCCTTTTGAATTAATGATTCTGTGTCCTTTGGGTAAATACCTAGGAGTGGAATTGCTGGATCATGATTAAAGAACTAAACCTAAGCCCTGAAACCATAAAATATATAGAAGGAAACATAGGTGAAACACTACATGACATACACCTCAGTAAAATCTTTAAAGACACATCACTCAAAGCAGTGATAGTGGAGGCAAAGCTAAACAGCTGGGACTACATCAAATTAAAGATTTCTGGACAGCAAAAGAGACAGCAATCCATTGCTTTTCAAAGTGCAAATATTCCTAATGATCGGAAGAGTAAGTTCACATGGACTCTTCCCTAGAGTTCCAAATAGGATGTTGGTGTTTCAGAGTTAGCTGCTGTAGAATGAGCAAACACTTTCTACCCTCACTTGGGTAACTTGCCTACTTGGCCTCCTGAATCACTCTGGATAACTCTTACCTGCCTCCTGGCAAAAGAAATTCAACTTCCTGGTTCACAGTATCTTAATGTGTTTTGTTTTTTTCCCAAGCTTTTATACTATAAAAGGAGACTTTGGTAATCGAAGAGCTACACCTGTTCTAGAATGGGAACAATCAATATTCAGAGATATCTAGTCTTTTTAAATTTATACATTGATACTATATTAGTAGAATTTTACAAATGGATTTTAAAAATTAATCTAAATGGGTGATTGTCTGAGACTAAGCAGCTGGAGGAATGGATGAAAGTGGGGCAGCCAATGCTAGGAGAAGAAGAGTAACAAAAGAGCCCTTTATAGCTACATATTAATAATTTACATTAAAATATTACAAAAAAGGGGCCTCCCTGATGGCACAAGGGGACAACCTATGAAGGTCACAACCTATGAAGCTATGCGCAGCTACTGCAGCATGAGTTCGATATCCGGCCAAGGAGCTGACCCACATATGGCGCAGCAGACCTCTCCTGTCTTGCCCACTGCTCCTCTCAGCAGTGTATTTCAGTCCATCTGCGTGTTCTGTTCCCCACTCTGTCTCTGGTGAATACTTTCACCCCCGCCCCCCCCGCCCCCACATCTCTGGCCTATACCCCAGCTCTTGTATGCATAAATAAATAAAATTTTTAAAAAACTTTTAAAAATATTTTAACAAAATTGTGTAGCACTGGAAAAGAGAGGCCAACAGCAGACTCAAAACTATCAGGATATTTAGCAGATGGCAAAGTCTTCATTTCACATCAGTGGGGAAAGTCAATGAATCTATCCATTAAAAAATAAATAAGGTTATTTGCAGGCATGAAACCAAAGCCAGATAATAAAACCTTATGAAGAAAGATTGAGGAATTTCACCATATATAAATTTAAAACTTCTATATGGCAAAAGAGAGCACTGCATTTGTAATATTTACGAGGCAAAGAATTAATATCACTAATAAGTTAAGAGCACCTCCAAATTTATAAAAGACAAACATCTTAGATGTATATCTTTCTGTTAGTTTTATATAATATTTGTAAGAACTTGCCTTAGTGTGCACACACACAGATTTTAGTGATTTAGAATAAAAGGAGCACTGAGTTCTAACATTTGACCTATCATGTTGACAAAGATAGAAGTAATTATTAAAGAGTGAACTTGCTCAGTCTTTCAGAATGGCAATTTGGTAATATGTTTCCAAGTGTCTTGATAAGTTCATATGCTCTGACTCAGGAGCTCCATATATGGGAGTGTGTCATCAGAAAATAATTACAGGAGTATGCACAGATAAGCACAAGGATCCCCACAGTAGATGGAAAGATGTCCGTCTACATCACTAAGTAAAAAAAAGCAGAATGCAGAGCTTTAGGTATGTAATGATTACATTTTTGGAAATAGATAATAGGTATGAATTATTTTTTAACAATTATATGCTTAAGCGCCATTATTATTGTCCCTGAATGATGAACTTATGAGGTAATTTTGCCTTTATAAACTTTTCAATTTTTAAAAATAAGCATGCTTCTTTATTACAATTTGAAAAAAGTTGAGTTGTTTAAAGCTACAAATTGAATAGATGAAGTGTCAGCCTCCTTATAGCAATGCTGATGGTTTCAGGTTTATGTCAGAGACAGTGAAGATCTCCATTCAGGCAAGACTTTTCCAAATGAGCTGAACCTTTTTCTTTAATTAATTTTATTACATGTATTTTTGTTATTGTTGTTTTGATATGAAAAGTAATCAATTTCAGCTTTAGGAACTTTCTTTCTCTTTTTGATGAATTAAGCAGAGTTTTTTTTCCCCAAGCTCTTCAAAGATTATTATAAACACAAATAAAGCATCCTTTTAAAAGTGTCCAAGGTACTTCACACCTGTGAGGATGGACCATATCGAAAATACCAGAAACAAGTGCTGGCAAGGATGTGGAGAAAAGGGTGGGAATGCTAACTGGTCCAGCTCTTATGGCAAGCAGTTTGGAGGTGCCTCAAAACATTACAAATGGATCTACCATATGATCCAGCAACTCAGCTCCTAGGCATCTACTTGAAAAATTCAAAAATCACTAAATTCAAAAGGAAACTTGCACTTTTGTGTTTCTTGTAGCACTATTTATAATAACCATATTATGGAAACAACATGTGAGTGGAGCAAAAAGATGTGATACATGTACATAATGGAATATTACTCAGCAATCAAAAAGATAAACTCATGCCATTTGTGGAAACCTGGATGAAGCCAGAAAGGATCATGCTAAGTGAAATAAGTCAGAAGGAGAAAGATAATTACGGGATGGTGTCACTAATGTGTGGTATATAGAGAAACCAAACTAAGGATCAGGTAAAGGCGAGCTTAAAATCCAACCCTTGAAAGATGACTATAGAAATGAAGGATCCTGAGGGGGGAGCAGTGGGGAAAAGGTGTGAACAAATAGGGAAGGAAGCACAATGGCCTATGGTGGTAGAATATGGGTGAATTGGTGGTGTACTATGGTGGCAATATTTGATGGGGGTATTCTAATATTACCTCAATTAAAAATATTAAGTTAGTTTAAATAAATAAATAAGTGTCTCAAATGAAACCAAAGGTGTATCACATTGCCAAAGTAAAAACTTTGTGACATTAAGAATGCATTTAGGTTGTAATATTTTCACATTATTGTTTTTAACCATTTGCAGTGTTCTTTAGACCACACATTAAAGACACGAAATAAGAGTATTGCTTTTAAAGTACAGCCACAACAAATAAAACAGAGGGCCTAAAAAAGATAAAGATCAAATCTGCTTTATACACAGGATCAGATTTATACATCATCTGAATCTTTCCAAATGAGTTGGTAAGAACGAGGTCCCATATTTAGTGCAACATATAATACAGTCTTCTCATTTGGAAAAATCAAGATGTATTTGATAATGCTTATTCTCCCCCCAATTTTATATTTGCTTCTTTTCATTTAAAAATAGAAAATTCATGAGGAAAGAACACATTGTTATGCTATAAACATCTTAGGAACAACAAATTACAGATATTCAATTTTTTAATATAAGAAAAGATGCTATTTCCCAAAATGTAGACATCCAATAAATAAAGCATACATGCTACACCAGGTATATTTCACTTATGAAAGAGGCATATTTTGGTATATTTGGTGATAAGGTATTTAAGTGTAAAAAAAAAAGAACAACAACAACAAAACAGACTGAATCCCAGGTAGTTATTATTTAAAAGTCTACTGTTTCATCCAGCTAACTTATTTGAGTAGAAACGCACCAATTTGTGGAGAATTTTGGTTATAGGACCAGGTCCCAGGAAAGGTCTGAAATATCTAAAAGTTATTTGGCCAGAGAAACTGGGAGGCAGCCCTTCATGACTGCTCTTCAAAGAATTCCTTCCTAACTTCTGCCCTGCATTCCTTAGAGCAAAGCACAGGATCTGGGCTCCGGAAGGGGCTGCTTCTGGCTGGGGCACCGACCAGCAGGGCACAGCTGTGGGCTTTCTGAATGTAGTACCTTTGCAACTCAGCAGCTGCCTTGGAAACCTGGGTCCTCCCCAAGCAGCCTCCAGCTGGAGCTTCTTCCTAAGACTGTGGGGTTATTCATGCCCCCAGCCCCCTGCCCAGGGGAAGACTTTGGGAACTGTATGATTTTTTTTAAACCTATTTCTGGGTTAGTGTTTTCTTTTTCTTTTTGTTGTTGAAATTGACCTCCAGCAATTCTGGCCTCTCCCAACTCTACTAGCAGCTATGAAAGAAGCCCTACATTTTTTAAAGGAACAAAAACAATTCATATTTTCTTTTTATTAAATACTTCCCCCAGGACACCGATCTTCCCTTTTTCCCACTTTGCCCATTGCTCCACTCCACTTTGCAAACAATCTGTCTCCTTGAAATGATTTATTTTGAGAGGCAGTGAAGATATAACATGCAAGATTCAAATCCCAGCTCTGACATTCTTTATTTTTTCTGACATTCTTTAGCTGTATGACTTTGGGCAAATTATGAGAGGTTCAGTTTCTTCATCTGTAACTTGTAAATCTGTATCTACCTCATAGGAATTAAGTGAGTGGATAGGTGTTAGTAACTGCCAACAGTGCCTTGTAAGTAATCAGAAATGAGTGATCATTATTATTACTTTTATTGTATTTTCCTTCCTAAGACAGCCTCTGGTCCCATTTTACACACCCTCATCCCACTTGCATGTATCACTATACCTCTCACAAGAAGTGGAACCATGACATTCATTAAGGCCAGAGGGTGTTATCTCACTTGGGGGGCCGTCTCCCTGTGAACACCCGCTGCAGGGCACCCTGCACATCAGGATTCCGGAGGCTGTAGATGAGCGGGTTCAGCAGGGGGCTGATGACGGTGTTGAGGATGCCAATGCCCTTGTCCTTGTCTGAAGCCTCCACTGAGCCCAGCCTCATGTAGCTGAAGACACCTGTCCCATAGAAGATGCCCACCACGGTGAGGTGGGAGCCACATGTGGAGAAGGCTTTCTTCCTGCCCTCAGCGGAGCGGATTCGCAGGACTGCAACTACCACGTGGGCATAGGACACAGAGATGAGGACCAAGGGGGCCACACCCATGAAGGCTGCTGCTGCAAAGAGCAACTGCTCATTGAGCTGGATGCTGGAGCAGGACAGCTGGAAGAGCTGTGGGAGGTCACAGTAGAAGTGGTTGATCACATTGGGCCCACAGAATTTAAGGGTGGATACGGCAACAGTTTGGGTCAATGCATTGGTGAAGGAAAAGACACATGACATGACCGCCAAGCCTCGCTGGATTCCCCAACTCATGCGGGTGCTGTAGGTGAGAGGCTGGCAGATGGCCAGGTAACGGTCATAGGCCATGACAGTCAGCAGGAAGCAGTCCACCCCGGCCAGGAGGTGGAAGAAGAAGAGCTGAGAGAGGCAGGCTCCATAGGGAACACTTCTGTTATTGGACATGAAATGCCTCAGCATGGCAGGGACAGTGACCGTGATGCACCCAACGTCCAGCAGGGACAGGTTCCCCAGGAAGAAGTACATGGGGGTGTGGAGTTTGGGTTCAGTGATGATGGCAGCTAGGATGCTGAAATTGCCACCCACAGTAGCTACATAAGCAAGAAGGAAGACGACAAAGAGGATGGATTTTAAGGTTGGAGTCTCTGCTAGACCCAGCAGAATAAACTCAGTGACAACTGAATCGTTTTCTGGGGCTCCCAGATCCATGGTTCTCTTCTACAAGTAGTAGAGCTGAGCAAAGGTAGAAGGTGCCAACAGAGATAATGATAGCAACCATTAAACGTAGCAATGACTGAGAGAAGGTCAGGGGCAAAGACACAAAATGTAAAGAAAATTAAAGTTGGAGACATAAGACTTGATAAATCTGATTCTTAATGGGTAAGAAAAGTGGCAACTGACAGATGCAAACAGAGATGGATGAATTAACAGCGAAAGAGAAACAAATTTAATGCTTGAAAACTAAAGGAATGATTATTTTCCTGAGATTATTTTCCTTAAGAAAACGCCAAGCCTACAACTGGTGGCATGGTCACAACCTGGGTACCAAGTTCCTAGGGGGATGAAGTTTTCCCAAAACCCATGTCCTTGAAATCTCCACATATGCACGTTGTCATATGTGATGGCAGCAGTGCGCTGTGCCGTTACCCAGACCATTAAGATTAACATGGGAAGCCATGGGATTTGGTCTGGACCTTTCAGGGGGAAAAAATGAAGTAAAACAAAAATGGTAAACTAGGCCTGTGACTATCCAGGTGCCTCTCTTTTTCTTTCCCTAATAAACTTGTCCTTTTAAAGTGTAAAAAATAAACAAACAAACAAAACCCTAAAAAACCCTTATTAACTAATGAGGAGATATCACTGAGGCTGTCTCTGGCTGGGGACTTTCAGAGTTTCTAAATAGTAAAGTTATATATTATTTCCTTCCTGACATAGAACCTGGGAGATTGGGATCCAAAGTACTGGCTTTTTAGTGAATAAGAAAAATATAAAAAGAGGTTTTAAGCAAAGTGAGAATTTCAGGCTTCACGTCCTAGATGGGTTCAGTGGATATTCTGCTGAGCTCTCGTACACAGCTGGATATGCAGATCTCCCAGACCCTGAATTCTCTTCTGCTTCCAATTCCACCATCACTTGATCCCATGCTCTTCTGTCTCCTGGCTCTAGCTGCACATGTCCCAACACACAAACTCTCATGAACCCGATGAGCCGTGCAGGCCAGGCTTTTACAGAGCCATGACCTGCCCACATATATGATCACTTAGGCAATGCTTTCCTTCCCATAGCCCAGAAATCGTTACAAAATAAAATACATGGTGATCCACCTCAACCTCTGGCCAATGGATGGGTATTTAAATCACTCACATGGCGTCTACCCTGATTAGGAAAATGCTGGAGTTGGAGATCTCCAAGGGGCAAAAGGGATGACCAAGGAAAACATCTGCTGATGATTAATATTGAGAATAATGTCCCCAGGTCCACAATGGGTCAATTATCAGCTGATGGCCAATTTTTTTCCTGCATGGAGCTGTTGCTCTGACCACCACCTCAGTCTCTCCAAATCTGAAATGACCATTGTCATTTTAAATATGCTCCTAACTATTTGGGTAACAGCCTTGTATGCTCTAGGTCAGAGAGACTTGAAGCCCTTGCCGTCACTGACTCTTCCTTCTCTTCAGCCCCTCACATTCAAGCATCCAGTATTTTGGGGGAAAGGTAGATGCCACCCTGGAGCCTAGAAGATGAACTTCACTTGTAAGGAAACCAAGTAGTGAGAGAGCAGTGAGGGGTCTTGGGATGATACTCACCCAGCAATGACTTCCGGGGCAAAGAGAAGGGGCAGTCACACCAGCCGAGAGGCCCCTGTGGAGAGGACAGCTTATAAGAGACAGAGAGACAGAGACAAACAACTTGGTTGATGTTATTTTCACACTGGGATTTTTCTTGGCCCCATTGTTACCCCTGGGGTTTCACAAATTAGACTTTTCCAGGGGGAGCCAGGGCCAGATAAACACCTGCCTTTGCAACAGAAATAATGATGCTTTGGACTTTCTCAAAATATTTCCAAATATGACCTTCATGGATGTGGCAACATCTATTCATTTATTAAAAAAAAAAGTTTCTCAACCTTTATTATGAACTGGTACTCTTTTTAGCCTCTCATGGATTTAAAAGGAGTTTCAGAACTTTTTAAAGAGCAGAGAAGTTTACACAAGTGTTGATGAGTTGGAATTTAGGGTTTCTGGTTTAGTCTGGCTATTATCTTGGAAAGGCAGGAGCAGTGACTTGTAAATTCCTGACCATGCCTGAAGCTCAGAACTGAGAGAAGCGTGGAGCCAGCGGCAGTATTTGGTGCTTCTAGTGCTCTTGGGCCCTGTCTCCTCCATCAGCTTCCAGAGCCACCTCATATCTCCCATCACAGCTCACTCTAACCATCCTTAAGCCTGACTTGTCCTCTGGTCTCAAGCAAATGTCCTGTCTCCCCTCTGCTTCCACAGTATAATCCAGGCCTTATTGTGCCCCGTCCCTAAATGTTTTCTAGCTTTATACTCTCCAACACCATAAAAAAGGTAAAGATTTTGAATATTCTGACCATTCTACTTTTGCTAACTCCTGAAGGAAGTCTTTGGCCTCAAATATAATCTTTAACAATTGTTAATTAGTAAAGGTTTCCCACAGGGAGAAGCTCCTTGCAGGATCATCCAAAGAACCCCAGAGTGGCTCAAGGTGATCATAGACCAAGGGGTACTGGGATGAATTGGACTCTCTGCTGACAGCTGCTCATAGAAGGGAACTGCTAGAGTCCAAATAGAATCCATTATTGCACATTGCCCACCTGACATATGGAATCTGCCTCACAAAATTCTCCTTCTATGCTTCCTCCTCTGGTTGTTATGGACTGTACTCTATTAACAGCCATGGCCTATGACTGAATCCTGGCCACCTGCCGGTGCCTCACCTTCAGCACCTCATGAGCCACTTGGTTCAGAGGATCTGATGTCTGTGTCCTGGCCTTGTGCCCTTTCCACATGTTCTGACCCGCACTCAACTTCTGTGGCCCCAATGTGATCAACCATGTCTACTGTGACCTCCCGCAGCACTTGCAGCTGTTCTGCTCTGGTGCCCAACTCAAAGAGCTGCTGGGTTTTGCCATTTTTTTCATAATGGCAGGTTCCCCAGTGGTTCTCATTGTTACCTCCTATGCCCATGTGGCAGCTGCAGTTTTATGAATCTGCTCAGCAGAGGTCAGGAAGAAGGCCTTCTCCACATGTGGCTTCCACCTCACTGTGGTTGCCCTATTCTATGGCTCAGGTATTTTAAACTACATGTGAGTAGTTTCAGTGAAGCTTTCAGCTAGGGATAAAGCTATTGGAATTTTTAGCACTGTCTTCAACCCCATGCTCAATCCAATCATCTACTGACTTCAGAACCCCAATGTGCAGGGTGCACTCCAGTGGGTGCTAATGGATAGGTGGTCACTGGCTTGAGATTTGGAGTGTCACTTCCTCCTTTGCTCTTTTTGGTCTAAAGAGAAATCCTCTGGGACCAGTAATTCATATAATTGGTTCATAACTATTTGTATTTTCATGAGAATGAGTATTTTTTTTTTGGTAGGGGATAATAGTTATTGTTTCCCAGAGAAGTCCCACCCTATTATAGGCAAAGGGTGCTTAGGCCAGCACCCTTGACAAATCACAAGGGTCACTGTGTGCTCCTTTCTGGACAGAAGCGAAACTTAGGAAGTCTTGAATGCTCATAGGTTCATGCCCACAGGTAAAGACTCTGGTTGGTTATAGTTTGTGTTCCCCCATTGCTGGGAATTTCTCAGCAAACCCTCTGCCTCCTCCCCCAATCAGTGGGCTCATAAGATTCCCTCAAGTTCAGGTATGGTTGGTCTGTTTATAAAATACACGTCTAGAGATCACAGTTGTTTAGTTTGTCCCATCAGTCTTCAATAAATAAAAGCCACTCATTTCCCCTTCCATGGACACCAAAGAATATGGAAGACAGATAGGAAGATGAATGAATTTTATAATGCTGGAGGGCATGGTCCCTATGTGCAGTTCACAGACCTGTTTTTAAATTTTAAAACTCCATTAATATATTTGATACACCTTATGATACAAATGAATTTTCCTCCTCCATATTTCCTCTTTTGAAAGGACACCCACTTATAGTCTAAATACTATTTTGTCATTTAAAAAACCTAGACTATTCAGGGCCTCCCTGGTGTCCCAAGGGGTTGAGATGCAACCTATGAGGCTGTCCGCAGCTACTGCAGCATGAGTTCGATCCCCGGGCAAGAGATACACATGACGCAGCAGACCTCTCCTGACTCGCCTGCTGCTCCCCTCAGCAGTGTGTTTTGGTCAATCTGCCTGTTCTGTTCCCCACTCTGTCTCTGGTGAGTCCTCTCAACCCCCACACCTCTGGCCTGTACCCCAGTTCTTGTATGCATAAATAAGTAAATCTTAAAAAAAAAACCCAGAATATTCATTATTAAATTTCTCTCTAAATTCTCACTCTACATATCCAAACCCCCTCGCTAAGACAATACATGGCTTAAATACAAGTCCCATGGTGAAGCTCCACCCAAAATTTCCATTATCATTATGGAAATATGTCTCTAACCTAAAGCACTCTGTCATGTTGTTTGAAGATGAGCTACCAGACTTTAGCCCAGTCATTATTTGGTAGTATTTCCCTTCTAGTCTCCTTTTTAGCATTAATTGACCATTTATGTGTCTATACTGGGTCACTGATGTCTCCTGATTAATTTCCCCAAAACTTGCTTTTGATCTGCAGTGTCGCTTGGTTTCTCCATGATATTTTTATGTGGGTGAAGGGATTTGAAGGTTGGGATAAGAGTGGGGTGAAGAGAAAGGACATGGAGGTAGGAAATAAGACAAAACTGTAGGTGGACAATCTGTGGAAAAGTGAAAATGAATGATGAGGAATAGGGATAAACAAGATAGAATTGCAAGCCAAGAAGATTGATAAAGAAGGGTGGAGGTATTAGACAGGACCAAACAGGGCTCAGAGTTCGAGTGGAAGATGAATTTGAATGGAGAAATTGAATAGGGTGCCTCGAGACTGTTAAAAGGTTAGAGGAACAAGGAGGGATAACAACATTCGTGGGTCAGGGATGAGAGATGGCTTCCGCTGTATAGTCTCCCACTGACAGCTCGTTGGCAGTTCTAATGCCGTCA